CAATCGTAAAGAAATCTTTCCAGTTCTTAAGCTTTGGCTAAAAAACTTCAATGTTGTATTTCACAAATAAACAACTGTTTTGAATAGCTATTTTCATCAAAACAATGCGAACTGAAGTAACTCATCTTAATACAATCCGAACCATATCCTGGTTCTCCAGATGCCCGGTTGAAAAACACTTTCGCGGAACCATTTACGGTCAACCATTCTGACATATCGTCCTTGCGCCGACCATCTATATAAGCAAGGTTCGAAGCCCCTTTCATTAATTTCTCTACATCGTCATTCTTCAACTCTGAATCGATGTTATTCACGTGACCACCGTCTGCCTGACATTGCTTTTCAGCATCATCAAATGATTTATTCTCGACATACAGTTTCAAACAGAAGCCATTTGTCGTCAGGTTATAGTCCTTGAGACATGATCCCTCACATATTCCGATATCTGTTTCCGTCGTCAACTTTTTACCAGATTGATATCTACCACACTTTCTCGTTCGTTTCCGTGAGGTTATATATCCTCCTCTAATCGCTACACATTTTGACCACTGTGTCCAATGATAGCAAGGGCTACTGAAATGTTCTAGGCTCTGTATTGCCATTCCAAACAGTGTTATAAATGGCTTACCAAGCGTTCTCCCCAACGTAACGTCTTACGCGGTTGTTCCTTACTTTTCGTCAGAGACGCAGAGGAAATGTCCATTGTAAATATAACCACTACTTAGACGCTAAACACGAAACGTGTCTTTCTTCCACTCATATTAATATTCAAATAACGTGTTATGCTTTACGTTTGATTATTTGGTTATATACACAGCAGCTTTTTAAACAATTATCGTAACGGTATGGGATAACGGTTCAAAGTGAAGTATTTGTTACTTACAGTGCAAAACACACTCTGAATCTAAGTGCATTGAATTTGCGACGCACGGCTTATTGTTAGTGCTGCTTTGCAAAGATATGCTGACAAATTCTCTTTAAAGTTATATAACATCTTGATTGGTGTAATGGAAAAAGCCAATGTTTTTCGCGATTTTTAAATTATACTTAACGAAAATATCTCATTGTATCAATTAAATAAGTAAATGAAACTGTAGAGATTGCAAAATTCCATTGCTTAATACCAGACATTGTCTTAACAAGTCTAAAATCAGATAATTGGTTTGTTTGTTGCTTGTGCAATTGACAATTAATTTTAGAGAATGCAAATTTTATTTGATGCTAGTTAAACTCATGTAGTTCTATACACCTAACTGAATCAAAACCTTTTCGAGGTTAGGTTAGCTTAGATAAGATAGTTTGATGTTTTATAAATGTTCTTTCTGAGTGTGCAGGTAATAAAAGAAATTTTATTCACTCGCTCCATAAGTCTTTAAAAAAAACTCGTTTTAAGATTAATGACCAATCCTGATAAATATTCATTGGTAACAAGTGATATCTCGATTATGTCTTTCCAATATAACTGAAGTGCCGGTTAATGTTTTGTTTTTGTCTTTTCTGTAAATGTGTATATGTTTATCTAGTAACGTAAAGGTTTGAAAAACGTGTGTTGAAAATAATAGTTATATAAGTATTTATGTATGGAATTCTTGCTTTTAATTTTCATGGTTCCGAATTGACATTCCAGCCAGTGTTAATATTGGCCTATTTTATTATCTTATTACTGAAAAATTCTCATTTTAAATGAGAAATACATATTAACTGCTATTAAAACAAGTCTTCTTATTTCCCCATAAAATTGTAAAGAAAATGTTCAGTTTTAAAATATCATGTATTTATCTTTCTCATTTTACAATACTGACTTTACAATACTGCGTAACATCTAATAAGTTCATGAAGAAAGTCATAATATTATTAATGATTATTCGCATAAAGAAAAGTTTATATTACCGCCATTACTTACCTTTTCGTGAAACAGTAATTGAATAATCATTTTGAACAAAAGCGTGTAGTATCGGCAGAATAAAGAAATTCCAAGAACACATGATTAATAAAGTATGCCTTTAATTGCTATTTATTACAACACATGCCAACTGGACAAAACAGATATAACAGGAATTGTCATGCTGTATCGAGATTATTATTGGTCTTCTTTATAGTTTGAGTCAAAGTACTTAGTATCGTTCTATCAATTCTACAAGCTAACCACTTTGGATTATCCTAGTATGAAGTGTGATGAACTATTCTGGATCAAAACCCAAGCCTAAAAATCAAAATGGCGGTGAAAATTCAATATGGCCGCAAAGATGGCCACCACAACCCTGTATTTTTAAATACCCTTCAATAAATTTACAATATCTTGCAAAATAATTCAATATCTAGAGTTATGTTATTCTTCTTTGTTTTAAATTGGTTCTCATTATATTCACATAATACGATGTAACATTTTATCCTCACTAAATAATATTTCACACAATGATTGAAATTTTGTAGATTGTAACAGCAGCTGTTACATTTGCATAAAATTGTGCATGGAACATTAGCTTTAGCACATTTTCATCTTCTACGGTAAAGCTACATTTTAACAGTTCCATTAATAATTTTGCTGCTGGCAACAAGTTTGTCCACAGAGGCTGTCATGGAAACATTGGATCAGCTTTTTTTGTCTCGACCAAGTTTTTTAAGCAGAGTATGTATTGGATTTTATCGAAGGATTCTGCGGTGCCAAATTCAACCCACAACTGATCAACTTTACAGGCTTTTTTTAAAATTATTAGAAGTTGAAGCTGCATGCCTCCAGATGAGCTTAAATATTTTGTAAGAAAAACATCTGGGGAAAAAACTGTTCAAGATTTTAGGAAAATTCACTATTCAAAATTCAAGACTTAAACTAATGTTATATGGAATTAAGGTAAAGCTCGACACTTTGCGAATTTTCGAATAGCGTCTTGAAAATTCACAAGTACAAAATTGACAATATTTCTGATTAGATTCTGTTAATTTTATTCCAATAGTTTCATCAAATTTTTTCACAACGTCAAAGTTGACAATCAAAGCCCTTTTTTGAACATCACGTCGTTTCATATCCTTGGCAACTGTTACGGGTTTCACAACGCTACAGGCGGTCAAAATATCTTAAATTCTTCAGCATTCGACGGAAATAATGTTTTTTAAATATGATATAAAATTTATCTTTTTACGCCGAAAAATGTTTAAAAATGGAAAGAACATTGTCAATTTTGTGTAATATTTGAAATTTAGTTTTGGCATTTAAACGGATTTTTGAAAAATTCCTGAAATAAATTTTTGACTTTTTTAAACGCTCTTAAAAATGTATACTCCGTCTTAATGACTACAATAAAAATTGTTCACCGACTCAATTTTTTGAGTACACTTGATTTTATCTCCCCCGCCCCTTGAGTAATTTTGTAACAAAATTCGACGTCTGCAAATACGTTTGAAACTTTAAAGTGCGGCAATAATGTTCAGCTTTTCAGGAGAATTGTTCTAGAGTTTTATTTGTCCTTGATATATAAAAACAACAACAATTTCTCTTGGCAAATCCTTAAAAACTTAAAATGTGACCTAACGATGAAAAAGCATATTTATATTTAAATATATCTGAATGTTATATAACTGGGAAAAAAATCTTATTGTAAAATTAAATTTATACCCAAGTGAAATTAGCTAACAATATCTTACGTCATATACTAATTAGGTAGACAGTTAATTATTTGTAAACCTTCTCCGCTGTTTAAATTGTTTTGTACATTTATGCTATATTCTGTCTTGCCATATATAATGTATTGTATATCCTCGTGGGCTATGAAACCTTATGGATTATTGAAAAATAAACTTATGAAACTTAAACTTTTCAAACTTATTTAAAATCTAAGTCTGTGATTTAGGCGTTGATATTTTGACGCACTATTCCGTACCAGCACGATACAATTTTTTACAGATATATAGTCGATTTGCCAAGAGCAAAAGCAAAGACTGGAACCCAGGCTAATAAAATCTAAATACAGGTACATTTCAATGTAACATATAACATGTTACTTAAGCGAAAAGGACCGTCAGCATTGTTTGAAACTTGCTGGATATGTAACAACAATTGTCTAGTTAACTATCAGGAACTTGGTTGAAGTGCATTTTTATTGAATTTTTTATCGCCTTTCTGTTTAATTTGACGTTTATGTATGCTGATTTTTTTGTACGAAAAACAAACTTTCTTCTTATTTGTTAGCATGATTAATAACTTCATAATGAATTGTAAACAGACGCATGTAAAGAAAAGTACGTCAGGCGTTCAAAGGCAACGCGTACGCTGCGCCAACAAAAATAAATACAGCTGAGAGTTATCATTGCGTTGTATAAAATAAAAATATCGATAAAAATATGTTTAAATATACAGCATTAAGGACAACAATATACACAGGGAATAAAAAATATAATACAACAACAGACACGCACGTACAAAACAAACATATCAATTTAGAAAAACGCGACTTATATCTGCGCAGTCACATCTACTAGACAGCAAGAAAATAGGACCCGGCGTTTATCATGACAGGATGATAAAATATATAGGCAGAATGCTGAAATGGCATTAATAGTAAAGTTTACCGCGGCCAGAACTTGAATTGTATCATGTTCTTATTTCTTGAGAACTTTTTTCTGCAGTCAAAGGAACGAGTAAAAGCAGAAGAATAATTCCTTGTCCGCCAACAAAGACATCAAACCAATAATCAAATGCCTGGAATGTTACAAACTCTTTAAGAATGCCAACTATCCATGTAAGGGCAACAACTATAAGCAGATGAAAGAAAACAAAAGCATACCAGTATTTTCTGTCTGGGAAGAACGCGGTGGTTTGTGTATGTTTGATTTTAGTAGCAATCATACAATTAATTACAATGTTAAAAGCTACAGTTGCAAGGATGGGCAAAGCAAACAAAAGTCCCTTCATTAAGACCGTATTGATATGACATTGGCCTGCACCATACCCACTTTTAATTTGATTTGATATGTCCGCATTAGTGAACAAGATATTCACAAAGACAAAGCAAGCCGGTAAGCCATAGACATAAAGCAAAGAAAATATCAAATCTTTACCACACATTTGTATTCTCCTGGACACCATTTCTCTTAAGATGAGATAACAAAAGGCATTGAGAGAAAACACTGAAGTCAACCAGAAATAATGAATAGCAATACCAATGGCCTGACAGAATACCGATTTATCGTTCCATCCGCGTCCAGTCTGAAATGCACCTTGAGCAATGAAGAGATTAAAAAGAGCACATCCGAAAATTACCATTGGGCCATTGTTTAACCTTTTTGCGACACAAAATAATAGGAATACAACCAGAGTGCAGGTTATCGAAATACAAGAAAGTACTAAGGAGATAGTACTCAAAATAGTTGAAGGTTCAGGTTTCAGTTTAGATGCTATAAGTTTATATTGATCAAGGCAAATAGAATATGTCCGTAATAGTCCGTCGTCCAAAAGCTCTACATACGAATTTACAAATGTTTTGACAACAATTCTATATTTTTTGACAAATGCGGTATCTTCCATGTATGGTTCTTTTTCATTGTACATATTAAATAACCTGGAATATTCTGTATCGTCCAACGTAAAATGTGGACAAACAAAAGGCATTTCAATAACGGTTGTGGTTAAACCGTTAGAGTTTGTTTCGAATAGAATTTTGCTGAAATGTGTCTTGTTATTAGGAGCTAATCTTTCAAGGGAATCGAACATTTGGGTCCTGTTATCAGGTACTAATATAATGTTTATTGTTTTTTCGTGTTCGGGGTCTGTGGTAACCGTAAAATTTAATTCAATTCCATGAGCAAGGCTCTGAAGTGCATTGGCTAATCTGTCTTGAGTACAATTAATGTCCCATACTGTAGGTGCGTTTACTTCAACATTAAAGTAGTGTAAAGTAAGAGAATGCCTATGAAAGTAAGCTGTCACGGAATTCAACTTATAATTTCGGCATATATCTCTGGTATAAGTTACATCTAATATCCTATTGAATAGATATTCTAGAGTAATAGCATCTAATGACATACTAAATGGTATGAGTTCGGAAGGAAAACACATTATATTGAATTTGTATTGAAACTTGCTTGACACTGCAAAGGGAGGGGTTTTGCAAATTCCGTTTAGGAAATAGTTAAGTCGGGGACAAATTGCAGCTCTACACACGTCCTGAAATAAAAAGAAAGAGAAAATAAATGCTAAATATTTTGTTAGATTTATCTGTAAAGCTATAATAATGGTGATATACAATTCACAGTTAATACTACTTTAGTATATAAGAAAGAGAAAGCAAGTAATTTTCTATATTACTTAAGTATAAAAGAAAGTGAAGACAAGCATGTTTCCGCATTAAATGCCAACATTAAATGCCAAGTAATGTGAAAAACAAGTTATTAACTAGTTTGAACAACACACACCTCTCGGCAAAAATAATTTGTGTTAAGATATATGCCGGACAACATATGACACAATAGCAATATATGATACAATTAATGAAAACCTACAAATATTTCGTCGAATTCTTCGTTATCATCACACATTCCACTAGGAGCTGCTTCTGTAAGTGGCGAAAAGTCAGTTTGCAAATCCATGATTTCAACGAACTCGGTCGTAAAACGGTCGAATAGAGATCGTAAGCAAGATGGAGGCACTTTTTCATCTTCTTTATGATTACATATAAAACAATATACATTCTTGTAAACCACTCTGAAAGATGTCAAAGGAAAATCTGAAATTGACAAAGGTATAAATATGGTAGGATGTATAGTAAACAAAACTCCACTATACAAACTCCCTCAGAAGAATCGGTACAAACGATTATTTCTTCTGGTTTATCGATTCATGGAAAAAATAGAAAATGAGAACTAAAATTTCTTCAAATTGTTAGTCATTTGCTACAACTACGAAAGTATGTTTAGTAGGCGATGTGACTTTTTGAATATTATTAAATGCGTCCCTAGTTTAAATATGCATAAAATATGCATTACCAAGAACCTTTACCACTTTTAAAACTTCTAAACTAGAAAGTTTGTGTCAGTATTTTAACGGTTCTTAAGATTTTAGTTTTAGAAAACGCCTTTACAATATTATTATTTTATAGTATTTTGTCGCATGGCTTTGTTTTTTTTTTTTTTTTTTTTTTTTTTTGTTTGGTTTCTTTTCTCTCTGACCCATTATACTCGGTACACTTCAATTTAGGATTTGAAAACTGTATTGATATAATACAGGACAGTTTTTTCACTTTATTCATATAGGAAAAATCTCAGTTGATAAATAACAGTTGAGTTTGTTTTTTTTTCACCTGAGTTTTTACGGAGGGTCAAAGGGGGCATCGGTAACACATTCAAATTAAAATAAAATAAATAAAAGGGGCATAGGGTAATTCATTAAAATAAAAAAGAAACGTTATGTTCCTGACAAAGTTAACAGTGCAATGAACACTTTGGCAAAAATCCAAAATTAGGCAAGGCCAAGATATGTTTCTTTTGTAAAGCACTCTAGTGGGGCGGGAAATTGAGAAAATAGTGCAAATTGTGATACAAGCATGAAACTTTCAGGAAATCATCTTTAGACCATGTACATTTCAAAAGTGAAGTGGGCCCAAAAATATCTCTGCTCATTCAAGATGGTCGCCATTTTCAAAATGGCCGCCATATAAATTTGAGTACATTCTAGCTCATTCATTCCAATTTTTTGTACATACATTTAACTCACACCAAAAGCATGCATATAATTTCTCCTTTTCAAAAATTTAAATCTCACAAAATTTCTCTTTCATACTTCTTCCAAATCCAAGATGGCGTCCAATATGGCCGTCAATTTTGTGCAAAACTGTTATATCATTTTTATAGTATAATTTGTTGCACAAATTATGTTTATTATGATAAAAAAGGTGTTAACACATATCAGAGATAATCAAATTATATGTTAATCTCAATAAAAGTAAACATTTTAAAAGTTTTGTCTAAAAATATCTTTAGAAAAGATCAAGAAAAAATTCCATTTTTTCATATTTTTCAAATTTGATTTTCTAAAGTAATGCACAAAGTTAAAAAAGTTACTTTATATCTTAAACTGTATTTGACATTTTATTAATATCATGTGTTTACTGTTAAGAATGTAAGAAAAGCATTAAATCTGCAGGTTTTATATTTTGTGAAAGTGGGTGGGGTAATTTTATATGATAATTGTGAAAGAAAAAACAACAGAAAATCTACATAGCCAAGTTCATTCTATTTCTTTGCCTTTTTACTTTTCTATGAATTCTTATGCAAATGTTCCAACTTAAAAAGTACTTTTTATTGGATGATTTTTTTTTTGTCTTCCTTCGGGCCATTTGGTGGCACATACAAACATGTGTATACATTCAGTTATTAAATTTGGTTGCATGATACTTCTTGTTTCAATATATTTGATATCATATATTAATTGTTAATCGTAAAGACATAAGAAGGCAATAAATCAACTAAACGTGCTTAATTAAAGCTACATTAAATGAATATGTAGAAATAGTTTTGCTGTCGGCCTAAAAACCAAGCATTCTACAGTTTCAGTAACCTTTTTAACAGTATCGTTGTAAATCTCATCAAAGATTGTTCATAGATTAGGATTTTAATTGGAAAACCCCACGGTAACACTAAAGTTCGTATACGAATTTTAACATGCAAATGAGGACTATAATCAGCTCGTGTATGCGCTTCGTCACGGTGTTATAGTAGCTATCTGAAACACAGCAAATATATGACACACTTTAACCGTTTAAGCTTCACGGTGCACAAGGCCTGGGGTTCAGAAAAAAAAATATCTCATGAAAAAGATTAGATTTGTATGAAAACATCCGTTAAAATGCAGAAATATACCGTTAAATAATGACTGCTACTTATAGCCATGTTTGTTGATTTAATATTGATGTACGGATGATCCTAAAGGCGGAGTTTCTCATGCAAACAGAAATTGTACTTCCGAATTCGCCACAATGAGGTTGCACATTTGTATGCTCATTAAACTCATTTTGGTTGCCTGGACACCAAAATAAGATCTTGAGTCGATATGAAACCCAATTTATTAATGAAATGTCGCTTTTTTCTTTTTTTATGAAATATATTTAATGCAACTTTAAAATAGCAAACATGTACTTGAATGTAAGGTATAAAGGTAGTCCATAAACGCATATTTTTGACTCCTCCACAATTTTATATTTATAATATAAACATGGCTTAAAAGCCAACAAAATGTATGTGATGTGAAACATATATATCAATGATATGGCCTGGCCTGCATGCATCTTTTTGAAAAGTTAAGATACAAACTAAGTGTACTAGTATTTCCTAAAGTAATCATATCTTATTTTTCTTTCAATAAGAGGGTAATGATGACCCCTGGATCACTCACCTAAGATCATTGTTGGAAAAAAGGTAACAAGATCATTTTGGGAATGTCAATTATGTCATTACACACATGATTTGTGTCATAATTGAATCCGGTTGCTTTTAAAGAAACATGCTCAATATCTGCTTTCAATCTTTTTATTTCCCACAAGAGAACTTTTATAACCATATCTATATACGAGTCCATATAACTAAGTGACCTTTTGTGTTTGGTAAAGTTGGACCATGTTGTCCATGATATATCATTATTATAACATCATTATGATGATGCATGATTACTGTATATGCGTCGGATAGTTTAGGTTAAGAGAAAACAGTTTTATTACAGTAGTCTTTGTAAATTTAGTGATACCATTGCAAAACCATTTTAGACTGCAGTAGCATCATACAAATTTATGCATGTTATATCAGTCTACATCCCAAATATCTTATTTCAAGTCAATGAAGTTTAACACTAGATGTTTTTAATGTGTTTTCCTATACAAGTCTGTGAACCCAGGTGGCTCTATGAGCATGATTCATTAAATGTGTTAATAAAGACCCAAGGTGGTGCTACATGCCAGCTTAGTACCTGTGCTCTATGCATTTTGATTTTTGAGAAGATTTTTTTATTGCATGTACACTTAATGATACAAAAGTGTTTTATGTAACTTTTAAAGAGGTCTTCTTTACTTGGCAAGGTTATATTTTGACTATATAAGCTCTAGGCATTACAGTTTGTTTGTTTGTTGATTTTTTTAATAACATCAACAACAAAACAACTTCAATGCGATTCCCTACACAAGTCTTTAAAAACTGTGTTCCTCGTGAGGGCCTTTAAATCATGTCCCTGCAGTCCAAAATGGCTTTCCCTGTGACTTAGTTTACATTGACTTATATATTAAAATTCTTCTCACAAACTATGTGCACAGAGAAGAGAAAATGTCGTATATCATAACATTGTGATGCTATATAAAGATTATAAACATAGGGTCAAAATCACTTAGTTTACATGGACTCTTATTGGAATATAGTTATATGAGTCTTCGTGTAGTTCTGAGAGCCTAGTCATTGGACATGATTCTTTAAACCATGACTGGTGAAAAAAAGATACTCCTTATATGATTTTAGCATTCTTCAGTATAAAAGAATTATAGACCTTTTCCAGCAGTGGGTCTTAGGCGCGTGATCTAGGGCCAACAATGCTCTCTTGTTTTATGGGAAAAATAAAGTAGGAATACATTTAGTATATATTCCAAAGTATAAGCTATGTTTGTTATGTGGGTCAAGCGGTTTTATTGATACCTATTTTAGCACACCTAGTCATTAGATAATATGATGTATCAGTCGCCTAAATTTTTGTTTCTTTTGAAAATATCATGTCTACATAAGTTATTAGAAATGGACGGTACTTCCTCAATTATACTTGGTTACAATGATGTGCAAGTAAATATAACTTTGAATCATTCTGTTACAAGCTTTTAGCAAGACTAAATTGTGCAGGAAATAATTGTATTCATAAATAGACAACATTTCACTAAGGTCGAGGCATGATTTTATCTAACATATGGTTCGATATTTAGTCTTCTTTCTGTACAATTATCAAGTTATATTATGACTATTGAAACAACTTATATCATGCAAACACATTTAATAACTGAATGTATACATATAATTGTATCTGCATTTATTGATATTTTAGTACACCCTCTAGACCTGAAGGAAAACAAAAATAACTTAATACAATAAAATACTTTTACAGTGAATATTTGCATAAGAATTCTTAAAAAACGTTATTTTGTACTACAATTGTCTGATAAATTTACCCCACCCACTTTTAATAAGTATAAAACCTTCACATTTTTGTTTGTTTTTGTTACAATTATACAATAAAACATAGTGTTGATTGAATATCAAATACACTTTAAGAAACTATGAAACTTTTGTAATTTTGTACATAGACTAGAAAACCATGTTAGAGAAAAATGAAAAAATGGCACTTTTTCTTTGATTTTTTTAAAGATTTTTTTTGTATAAGAAACTAAAAACATGACTTACAATGTGGTTAACCTAAAATTTGATTTTTTTTCTAATATATTTCACAATTTTATATGGAAATACGCATACCGTGTGCAAAAAATTATACTTCAAAAGAGATATATCAGTTTTCATTAAAATTGGCAGCCATATTAGACGCCATCTTGGATTCTGAAGAAATATGCAAGAGAAATTGATTAAAGATTTAAATTTTTGAAAAGGGGAAACTATATGCATGCTTTGGTGTAAGTTTTAGGTCTGTACAAAAAATTGGAATAAATGATCTATTATGTATATCAAATTTATATGGCGGCCATCTTGAAAATGGCGGCCATCTTGAATGAGCAGAGATATTTTTGGGCCCACTTCACTTTTGAAATCTACATGGTCTAACGATAATTTCCTGAAAGTTTCACGCTTGTATCACAATTTGCACTATTTTGACAGCAGAGACCTTATTTCCCGCCCCACTATAGTACTCTAAAGTACTCCATGAGATCTATCTACCTACAAAGTTTCTTGCTGATACCTCTTGTGATTTCAGTTACGGTTCTTTTACATTGCATATTTACCTAATGAGATATATCTACCTTAAATAATGTTTCTTGTTGAAATCTCTCATAGTTTAAGAGATATGTCCCGGACAAAGATCACATTTTAAAAAAAAATATAGGGCAATAACTCCAAAATGAGGCAACGCATTATTACGGTTCTTTTGCAAAGAACTTCTACTCAATGAAATCTATCCACCTACAAAGTTTCTTGTTGGAACCTCTTGTGGTACTCTCTGCGATAACTTACTTATTATATATATATTTAGCTGTAGGGTCCCTTAGATAGCATTAGCTGGTAAAGCACAAGAGAGGGAAATGCACATAGTTTTTTTCCCTTATTTTTTACACTGATTTCTGTTAAAAGATAACGAAATTGCGATGAAACAGTCATAATATATGAAACTCGTAAGTATGAAACTAGTAAGTTACGGGTGTATAACAGCGGCTAGGCGACATCTAGGCATGTTTCTACAAAACGTCGTCTCAGCTTGACGGCCTCGACATTTTTATGCATATACATCCCTTGATGTCGACACAGCCACCGTTATACACAAGTAACTAACTAGTTTCATATACTATAACTAATACTTATGCTATAGATTTCAAATTATCAGAATTCAGTGTAAACTAAATGACAAATAAAAAGCCTTTGAATTTGTAGTTGACCGGAATTTGAACCACGGACCCTCGAAATACCGTAACGCGACCCTATCGACTGAGCAGTCAGCTTGTCATTTCTGTTGTATTTGCCCGTTGCTATACAGAAACCTTGATCGTCCATTAATTGATTATCAAATTACGGCCAACTATAGCAATAATCAATGAAAATTAAATTATATGGCAAGGTCAATGTCTACTCTGGTCAACTTGAAGGTCTGGTCCCGAGGGTTGTTTTGGCCAAATAAATAGATAAAACACAAAGAACTTAAAGCAAGTAGCAGTATGTTGTGTGAGCTGAGAAAGGTTTAAGTTTTCGGAGGGAACGGCAACGTCGCCATGACTATACCAACAGCTCATTTTTACTTCGATTAAGGCGAGCTAAAAACGCACTTTGTGCTACACAGAAGCTGCATCATACAATTGACTATCATAAGGCGAAACATGTGATCACTGATTGCTCTTGTTTCTCATTAAGATTTAAACGTGAGTCAATCTTACTTAAGTATTCATCTGCGCATGCCTCATATACAGTGTTGTTGAAAACATCCCAGCGACCAGTAACATTGCATGTGGTTATAATATCGGCTTTATAATGTTTTTTTCCACACATCTGTTGATACATTATATCCACTAAGGAAATCGGAGGAAAGGAATAAATGATACAGTTGCTTAGCAAATGTTGATACATTTCTTTAGCAGACATATCAGCCGGAATGTTGTCTTCTCTAAACATGCAATCTGACGCAATCAGTCTCCACCTACAATATATTGTATTGCATATTGTAAATGAGCAACTCTTAAGTATATATCTCGTATTTGATTTGTACGGCAATTAATTAAACACGTAGAAGTGTGCACAAAGAGATTCGTTGTAGCGTGCGATTTTAATACACACAATGCTTTAATATGGGCATATCTATAATGAAGTTTAAAAAAATGAAAGAAACTGTTTTTCCTAACCCTCGATGTTTTAATCAAAAAAATTGCATGCTCTTTGTGTTCTTCGGGAATTATATAGAAACTGTAAAATACGTTGGTTGAACAAAATAAATTTGGAATATAAATGATTTAAGGGGATGCATATGTTTGCCTTTGATAAGCACAGGAAACGTCAATTAACAGTTTTTTAAGGGTTTTTTATTTTTTTATAAAGACATCGTTTTTATTAATATTTACAAATAAGTTCACTTACCTCTTGTAATCGTGAATACCATTGCATTCTGCACACCTTTTATTTTGAAATATAACATTATCTGGTTCAGTGTATACAACTACCAAATCATCCAAAAGTACATCTTCTCCAGACAAAGAAGTGTTGACACTACAGAGCGTGCCATCCAGACAACTCGTCACCATTTCGTAACTTCTCGCTGGAATCTCGCTTTGCCTTTTCCAGTATTCAGAATTCTCATAAAAAATTGAATGGCAAGCATGCTTAAACCGGAAAGTAGTGTATGTAATATCTGGACAGCATTCTCCTTTTTCGAAGCAACTGTTCCAACACGAACATTGAGAACAACATGTCCTTCGATTCTCTCTTTCTTTTTCGACAGTACAAAAATTGATTTCGTTTCTACAGACTTCCAGTCCACGCTGTAAAACTTCAGTACTATAATTTAACGTTGAAACGATTTCTTTGTCAGAAAATATGCAAAAAAGAACAAACACAACGTTATCAATGAATATTTGCTTCATGTCTAATAAGGCTATGGCATAATGTCAAAATCCAACGCACGTCTACTTCCTTTTAAAGCGTATATTTGCCCATCAGATCCGAAATGGTTTCTTTATATACGTATCAATTTCTCTCAAAATATGCATGCTTCAAACTGGGATAATGTCGTGTTATAAAATATTATCGGTACAAGAGTAATATTCTCCTTAAAATATTTATAAATTTTCATTTTTTTTATTGTGTAACAGTATTTTTTTGCACCTGTATCCAATATATATCAAATAAATTGCTTTCGCTCGTGAGTTAACACAATAGTTTGTTAATTTTTTTGTGTGATAAACCATGTGATACCAGGTGAAATTCCATCAATATCGAAGGGTAATTATTTGGAAAACAAGGGAGTGGAAATATCAACATAATACTGTTTTGACATAACATAATAAATTGCTTATAAATTGTTGTCATGATGGCAGTCTTGTTTTAAAATTGAACACGAAACTCAAGGGTATTTTCCTTCTACTATTGTTCAATGGTAAAGAAAATTATAATTTGATTTAATATCAAAGCAGACACACTACTCTTTTGTAATTTGAGGTCCAATTCCAATATCATATCTTAACATCAATTTGTGAGAGCTTAAATCATTTAAATTAGATATTACAAAAAATTATATTACTCGTATGTGTGTCTAAAATATCTGTTTCATTAACTTATTAATTCAATGAAATCTTATAAACAACCCCCCCCCGACACCTGTGGTCCGTCCACAAGGTTGAAATATGTACTGCGATAATCCGTTGTTTGGTGGACAGTTTCACTGTTTTACTTTCTACAAACGTTTTATTAAGTCGTTAATGTAAACTGGTCATCAGCATCGTGTATATTATATAACACCGAAATGTGCAAAGATATGGCAAAAACTAGAAAGTATTTTCTTAAGCCTAGGAAATTAAGTTACGGAATATATTTTTTTAATGAAGATTTTCATTTCAAAATAATTTAGCGTAGATGTGTTCAACACTATGATGACGTGTCATACACAATATACAGACATCACAGTTAGGTCATTATCAAACTATAAGAAGTCATGATATAATAGAGAAACGACCGCTGTGTCCGGTTTGTAACTATCATTCAATAATGAATTCGGAATCAATGTTCATACATGTTTCATGATGTGTGACATATCTAGAGATAATTTGTCAGTCTCTACTCTAACAGTTAATCTAACATTTAAATCTACACCTCTAGAATAGTGTTTCCTAAAAATGAGAATTAATAGATCCCGACCACAATTCTGTATTTTGAAATAAATTGATATTGTTAAACAACTTAAATAATTAACATATTAAACTGACATGTAGTGATAGCCTGGGATTTAGGCATTGATATTGTTTGCGTATTTTTGTACTCGTTCGTGAGCACGTCAACGTTTTTGATAGTGTCGATTTGCTAAACAGAAGCAATAAAAATCTCGACAGACTTGAACCCAGACTTGTGTATTATACAAGTACAAGTTCATAAGACAAAACAAGGGACATGACTTGAAATATTTGCTCACTTGATTCAAGGGAACGCAAATTATTTTATGAAGATTCATTGTACTTGAACGAGGCATCTAAAAGCTAACTATAACGGTGTGTTTCATGCCATGCGCGTGTCAAATAACCGAGAGTTTTCCATTCAAAAAATATCCAGACAGAAAATACTAACTAATTTACTGTTCATATTGTACAATGGACAACAAAACTGAAATTTGAAGGTATATTTAATGTCGCAATGAGCTTGCTATAGCTGTAAGACAAGCATAATATAATGAATTGTGTGGTATATATGGACCTCAGGTCACTTCAACCTCGGTTACTAAGGCAACCATTGCTGCTGTAAAGGTGATACTATAGCAGCATGCAATATTTCAGTAAAAGAGATTTAGAGTTAGAAAATATGATAAACAAGATCAACAGATGGAAACATTTTATGCGCACTTAAGAGCAAAACAAACAGCTCCTTAAGGGTGCCCTAGGCTTTCCGAAAACATACGAGAACTGTGATAGTTGGGTTATTTCTAACTTGCTAACAGGTGCGTGTATTAAGCATTAAAGAATGATCGGTAATAAACAGTGGTTGATAAATATCAATATTGCCAAAATAACTATAACTTCAAAGAAGATGTTGTATGCGATTTTCTTCAATTTATGTGTACGAACATGAAGCGTCCAAGATGTTCAAGAGACCATCATATACATGACAACACCTCCTCCCACAAAACGAGATTGTTAAGTCTTTTTTTTGGGCATCCGTAGTAAGCCATCCGCCTAACAGTAATTATCATCATATTTGTAAGTGCTATATTTGCATATTCTGACCTACTGTTGATAATAATAGATTTTAAGTATTGTTTAAATGTATAATTTTCTTTCTTATTCACTTGACAATACTTTACTTTTTAATACATTATTAACATTTCCCTAAAATCAGTATTAATCTGAAGGTATGCTGCTTCAGAACTTACTTAAATTAAGTTAATATTGACACTGTATTAATTTATGGTTGCTTGTTTGGGTTAAACGGCTTTTTGACACAAGAAGCCGTACTGTGCCAAAACTATGTACATAAAAAGTAATATATTTCTGCACTTAAGATTATGAAAATTGAGAAAAACGGAATCGCTAAAAAACGACCAGAACGACAAAAGTATAAATTATGTAGGCTTGGTTTGATTGGACCTGTTTATTGACGGTAATGGAAAGTGCAAGTTACTGTCTAGGCCCTTTAAACGTAAAAGTGGGTTATCAAAGGAGTTAGTTAAATTTTAGAATACAGGGTTATATCGTTGTAGCACCTGTACGATAAGACGTAGGATTTTAAGATTATTTTGATTCAAGATAAAATTGAATGTATTTCACTTCGAAGTGAAATTTTCATTTATATATCCATTTCAGCGCACCTCGTGCTTTTGAAAAAATTTGTATAGAAATTCACCTTTATTTATAAGATATGTTCAATATTCACTAAACACAGACAACGTCTTTTGTTTAACATAATTTTGTGGCAAGTTTGCCCTTTAAACTAGCAAAATAAAGACAAAAAATGTCCTTTTTTTAACAATGTCTTGTTTTCAGTGACCTCGTTTTATAAAGAAAGTTTATAAAACATTTTAATAAATGAAATTAATATTTTCTAACAAATTATCAAATAATACCATTTGCCCCATAAAACAAATTGATATCTTCGCCGTAACTAATCTAATTCGTAATTTTGAATATTCATAATCATATTGCGTGCAAAATTGACAAAATAAAGAAATTCCAAAAAAACTTGATAATCACAATATGTTTTGCTATATATTACATAACTATAAAAAATATCAAAGTAATTGCCATATTTAAATCATTTTTTGTTTTCTTTACTAAATGTGTAAGTATATTTGTCGAATATACTAGTATGACTTTTCAATTAACACGATAACAGCCACAGAAATCCACATTCATACAATTACATGTAATCCACGAATATTGGAAAGATATCCTCATGTAGGCTTCGGACTGTTTAATATACATGTAATTATTTACGCAAAATTTTATATATGTTTAAACCATTTGTGTTAATACATTATGGGTTTTCCTTCACACAACTACTTGTATCAATTCATAATAATTATCGAACACTCTTCTCTCTTAGCTTTGGTCTGATAATCACTTGTTCAATGTAATATTTCGCAAATAAACGGCCTGTTTGTAGTGCAAGAACTCGAATCATACCAATATGAAGTACTCCGGTGGATTTTGGTACAAAGACCACTACCTGGTTCTCCAGATGCCCAGTTGAAGAACATTTTCTCAAAACCATTTATGGTCAACCATGCCGAACTCGAGTCCTTGCGCTGACCATCAATATAAATATATGTAGTACTGGTAAATCCCTGCAATAATGTCTTGACATCACCATTCTTCAAATCTGAATCAATGTTTATCACGTGACCACCATCTGCCTGGCACTGCTTTTCCGCGTCATCAAACGTTTTCAAATTGACATACAGTTTAAAACAGAATCCATTTTTCGTCAGGCTATAGGCCTTGGGACAAAATCCCTCACATATTCCGATGTCTGTTTCCGTCGTCAATTTATCCCCTGATTGATATCTGCCACACTTTCTCGTTCGTTTCCGTGAAGCTATGTACCCTTCTTACTGCACCACATTCCGACCATTGTGTCCAGTCATAGCAAGGATGGCGATTTTCAAGGTTCCGAATTGCCATTCCTAACAGAGTTATAATTGGCTTATCCAGCATTCTACCCAGCTTCAACAACATTTCGCCGTTAATATCTTCCTCGGCTGTTCCGTTACTATTCTTCAAAGACGCAGAGGAAATGTCCATTTTGACTAATACCACTAAGATGCTTAACACAAAACATAGGTTTCCTCCTCTCATTTTTATTTCAAATAATGTGTTACACCTAACGTGTTATTACTTCGTTGTGTTCAGAGAACGTTTTGTTTCAAAGAATCGATAGTTTAACTTAACGGTATAGAATATTGTTCAAAATGAATGTTCTGTTCTTTGTAGTACAAAACAATCTCTTTATGTTATCCAAGTGCCTTGAATTAATTGCGCACCGCTTAATCTTAGTACTTTGAAAATGTATCCTGACAAATTTGCTTTAAGTTATATACTAAGTTATATCTTGATTGGTGTAATAGAAAAGGCCAATGTTAACCACGACGGTATCTCGATGTACAATTATGCTTAACGATATTATCTCATTTTATCAATTAGATAATTGAAACTAAATCACATTTTTCTTGTAATCAGACATTGTTTTATCAATTTTTATAATATGTTTTAAGCATGTGCAATTAAGGGTAATTGGAGACAGTGTGATTTTATTAGGTGAAAGTTAAACCCATGCAATTCTAAACAAAAGTAATATTTTTTTAGATAAGGTAATCTTAAATAACTTGAACTCGTACACTCACTTTAGTCACTTTAGTGAAGTTAAGGGTTAACTCTAGGAGTTAACCCGATACGGCGCTAGGTGACGAAGTTTTGGAAAGAAACTAAATATACTCGTTTTTAGAATTAGAAATGACATGTACTGAGTTCGTCCTTTGATATTTTGATATTT